TATTTTTCCAAAAGAAAACCTTTGAATCTATCCATGCATGTTGACAGGTACTTGATTAACATTGTAGAACTCTGTGCCAACTTGGAAAATGTAATTGTGGTAGAAAAACATTAAAAATAGATGTTAACAACTGATGGCTTTGATCTTAAAGAACTTCACTGAGTCTTTTGGAAGATAATTTTCCATGATATTTTCCCTTGATTGTTAGGAAGGATGAGTTAGGAAAAAAAAATACAAAAATTTAGCATAAATCAACCTGGCACCTAGTATGGAGTACAGGGCCTGTCCAAAAAGGGCTCAAGAGTGGTTGATGGAAGGAAAGAACAAATAAATGAGTAAATGATCTATTTGATGGAGTTGTTTAATATTTCAATCAATTACAGAAGATTGTCAATGACAGATTTTAACTTTGGTGGTTTCAGCTACATTGGAAATTGGTTTATTCTGGGAATTATTAATCATTAGTTTATTGCTTCTATTTTGAAAAAATATAACCATAATGGTAAAAAGTTATTTAAGTATATAATGAATAGACAGAATTTAGAATACATTTGAGTTTTCTACAATTTAGGGCTAAAGTTCAATTAACCAAGACTTTGACAGTAGTTCCATGACATAAAAGCATTAATGACTAGTGACGGGAGGCAGATTATGTACATTGGTTTCTGTTTACAGAGTGATATAAATGAGGGAAGTCATGTGTTCTATAAAAGAACTTCCATTATTCTTATGTATATTTTTATGAAATAAAAGAACAGAGCAAAATCAGTAGTCAAATTGATACTATAACCTCTTTGTTCCTCACAAAAAGTATTTGACGGAAAAACTTTACTCTATAATTTGAGAAGACATGTATGCTTCTGAGAGCTGTCCAACAGACTAGTGGTCTATAATTTGAGAGATAAATGGTTCTCCTTCCCATCAAAGGGAACAGTAAACCCCCAATTATATAAAGAACCTCAGCCCAAGGCTCTATGTTTTAAATGAGTCCATCTTTTAGATTTCAGCAACCAGAAGTTCAGAATCTTGACACACACTGCTGCAAAGACTTGACCTTACAGGCATCACTGGATGCCTGGATTAGCATAAAGACTTCTCTTTACAAGTGCTCTGCAATGGTCTTGCAGAAAGACAGTCTGAGTTTATCCCTGATGTTTTGCCCCCATGATTAATAGTGCTATTTTCCCTCTCAAAATGGTCTCAGTTTGAATAGACTATTTGGTTATCCCACTTGCTATGGGAGTTGTCCTCCTAAGGGTTTTCCTAAACTAAACACTGGAATCTAACTTTATGTTGTACTTAATAGATTTGAAAATATGCTTGGTAGTACAGTTGACCAACTAAAGGTATACCTCAACTCTCTGTAACTCTAGTTAGGACATGTAAATTTCCTGGTCTTAATTTTCTCAGGTAATATAAGATAATAAAAGTAAATTGTCTTTTTAGCAATAAATGTCATCTTTGCTGATGCCAGCCCCATTTAAACGCTCTACTCTTTTCTTTAATTCTGCCCTAGGACCTGGCCACACTATAAAGAAGGGTGTTGTTTGGCTGTCCTGCTCAAAGTGTCTCTTGAAATATAATAAATTCAACCATTACAAAGCTGCTGTGGATACTTTATCACCTTTTTTTTTTTTTAAAGATTTATTTACTTATTCATACAGAACTGGGGTACAGGCCAGAGGTCAGGGGCGGTGAGAGGCTTCACCAGAGGCAGAGTGGGGAACAGAACAGGCAGATCAACGAAGTACACTGCTGAGGGGAGCAGCGGGCGGGTCAGGAGAGGTCTGCCACACCATGTGGTCACCTCCGGGGCAGGCGGGAATCGAACTCATGCGGAAGCGGTTTTAGCTTCTCAGTGCTGTGCTTTAACCCACTGCGCCACCAGGGAGGGACAACTTTATCACTTTTTTTAATGTTCAAATATATCCTTAACTCCCAGATCAGCTTGAGAAAGGGAATTGTTATGTACAGACAACTCTGGCTTCCCATCCCACACTGTCCCTAAAGTGTTGTATCTGAGTATGACAATCAATGTTCAGTTCAGGTGCCTGGAGGGTTACATTTTAGTTCTGAGAAAAACAGGTACACAGTAGACACATGCCACCATTTATGACCTTATTGAAATAGGAGCGTGCATGTCTTAATCAACCATTACATCACTTGCGTACTACATCATCATTTGCATACTGGCTCTTCCAGGAAGGAGTTGAGTTTTCATTCAGGTCATCATTGATAACCCTAATCTTTTTATTTCATTTATTTGCTTTGTGACCCAATCATTTCTACTTAATTGCTAAAGGGACCTGCCAGGTCAATGGTGAAAATAAACACAGTATCTCGATTCAATCAAAATCATGCAAAGATGAAGTTATGGGCTGGGATATAATCCCCAGACATTTGTACATCTGGAAGAATCAAGACAAAATAGAGAAAGTGGAGCAGATGACACAAACAAGAAACTGCAAGGCCAGACTTCCAGAAATAGCCTAAGTTCTCTGAGTGAATGACTTGCCCTTATAGTACTTCATTTGTTTTTCAACTTCCTTGTATCTGTTTAATCAATGCTCTTTTCATTCAAGGCTGAGTCTCTGTTCCCTGAAACCTAATAATCCCTTTAAATGAAAAGACCCTTGTTCACTAAACTTTTACTATAAAGGCCAGTCTAGGTGAGGGTATCAGTAAGTTCCTCAACAGCAGACGAAAGACACAGTCAACTTGAAGATGTACAAATGTGTGGGGAGGGGGACTAGCAGAGCCAAGGGGGACAGTGAAGTCACTCCAGGTTAGCAGCTGTAGAGCAGTTCCCACACCTCCACCTGAAAGAACAAAGGGGGTGAAGAGTCATAGCAACTCCAGGGAGAGTACTGTGTAGAAAATTGTCCTGAGGGGAGCTGACACTTAGGTTAATAGTGCAGCACTGTAAGCCTCAGAGGCACAAAGGGGAGGTGAAATATAACTGACCCCACTTCTCTGCCTCCACGGTCCAACTGAGGCTCCCCATTGCCAGAACCCCACCGAAACCGGTGTGCCCGAAAACTACCCATATTGTCCACGCAGCTCCAAGTCTCAAGACAAAGACCTCTGCTTCCTGTGCATTTATATAGACAAGTTTCTGAACGCAACTTCTTACGAAAGTATTTTTCAATCTCCTATGCTCACAACCTCAGGGAAGAAAGCCTGTTTTCCTGGTGGGTGTGTCGGTGTGGGCTGTGCCTAACCAAGCAAACGCACCAGGCAGCCCACGAGTCCGGAGGGATCCTGGCAGAGGCAAGGGACTGACGCCTGTGCATCAGCTTGGGAGATGCCGCCCTAACGGGAAAAGGAGCAGTGGGCAGTAATGAGAAGTGGCAGCCAAGTGTGAAATCCTGCCACTGGCCAGCGGCAACTGGAAACAACTCCAAAAATAGCTCAGGCTGCAGCCAGCTTTAGGACAGGATAGAATTGGTGCTTTTACCAAGAGAGTTCCTCTTAAGCCATTTAGAGGACTTGTAGAAATGTTATGGTTGCAGTGTTTTTATTCTCAACATCCATCCCCAAAGTAACCCTGGGTTACAGTGCCCTTCTCTGTGAATACCAGCGCTATTCTGGTAGGGCTGAGATCCCGCCACACCAGCACAAAGGCAGATGGTGGTTTGCAAGGCCTGGGGTCCAGGACAGTGTGAAATATGAAGAAACAATACTGTCTCCCCCTCAAAACTCTGTTTTGTTTTGTTGAACATTAAAGTATCTCTTTTCCACTTTATCGCCAGGCCTGGGTAAAATAGATCATCATGTTCTCAGTTCTCACATTGATTCTCACATTGACCCAGTATGGCTGCCTAGTAATTGACCATCCTGAGGAATAAATGCATTTTCCTCATTATCTCTACCAACCTTTCATGACTTACAATCTAAAAAAGTCCATTAAGTATTGATATTTGCGCTGTTTTCACCGCAATAGAACAATCAAAAACCTGAAACACAATGATGGATTCCAGACTGTAATTTCTGATATTGATATAACTCCGTTGACTAAGGTTCTCAGTTTCTTCATAAACACTATGAATACTGAGATGAATTTTAAATGGTCTGATCCTTAAGGAAATGGGCCCATCAACAAAGGATAACTGCATAGCTTAAGTAAATTATGACTTTATATTATGTAGAAATTAGGTAACTGTATAAAGAAGGGATAATCAAAACTGATGTGACCATAAAAGCATCCTAGAGTAAATGGCAGATGAATTTGGCTTTTTTTTTTTTAAGATTTATTTATTTGTGCATACAGAACTGGGGTACAGGCCAGAGGCTCAGGGGCATTGAGAGGCTTCAACAGAGACAGAGTGGGGAGCAGAACAGGCAGATTGACGAAGTACTCTGCTGAGGGGAGCAGCGGGCGGGTCAGGAGAGGTCTGCCACACCATGTGGTCACCTCTGGGGCAGGTGGGAATCGAACTCATGCAAAAGTGGCTTTCGATTCTCAGTGCTGTGCTTTAACCCGCTGTGCCACCAGGGAGGGCCCTGAACTTGGCTTTTAAAGGTGAATGAGGTGGCAAAGCGTGGAAAGTTCATTGTATTCAAAGGGAAGACAACCTGCAAAGGGGAAGAGGCACAAAGAGGCAAGACATCCAAGGCCGAGCAGTGAGTCTGCTCTGCTCAAGCTTGACCTGTATGGGTGGGAGGGGGGAAGCTGGAAGGAAAGGTATGTACCATATGACACTAGACTGTCACCAAAGTGACTCAACACGGGTGTGTCCTCAGCAATCTGAAGATGTGCAAGCAATTTGCAAATGGTTTTATTTTGCTTAATAACTAAATCAAAATATCTATCCCCATGCAAGTTCCCACATCAATTCCGTTCTGATAGGAATCCTGAACAGGGAAAGCACCATTGGTTCTTCATACATAATGACAGGCCAGTATTTTGGGCCCAGTGAGGAAGTGTCAGTGGCCACAGAGTGACCTTGTGAAACCAGTGTGGGAACTGGAGTGAGAATGGTTAAGAATCAGTGGCGACCCGAATGTGGAGGTGAGGAGGATGAGGGAAGGTTTTATGATGGAACTACGGGGAGGAAATGAAGCACCCCAGGAATCTGCAGGCTTGGTAAAACTGGAGAGCTTATTTTGCCCAGTCCTTACTTGTGATTCAGGATTTCTTCCTCTATCCCTAACAAATGATCGTGCAGTTTCTGTTTCAGCCATTCACTTTGCAGTATCCAATTTCACTGGTTTCTGTTTCCTTCACTCGCTTATAAAACTAAATGTGGGAAGAGGCCGTGTCTGTGGTCTTCACAGTTTTCCAGCATTTACTAATGTGTATGGTCTATCAGAGATGTTCAAGATATATTTTTGAATGAATGAGCAATCCCAGTGGTAGGAAGATGTGGGAATTAATTAAGGATTAAGATGGTTAAGAGTTATAATAGCTGTCATGTTTTCATTTGGAGTGGCTCTGGTTATAAACAGGTCCCTGTACAGTCCTTATTTTTGGTCTGTACGTTGAACTCAAAGACTCTCCTACATGAATTTATTTCCAAATATTTTGAAGAGAACAATTGTACCTCTTGAAGTTCCTCCTCCTCAGCTAAGCACTTTCATTTTCCTAATCACATGGCCTGTTTTCCACCACAGTTCTTATTTCTCTCCTTTCACTCTCCCCGGGGCTTTTTACAAGTGCCCACAGGCCACCCTGCACCAGGGCTGTGTACTGAGGAGGGAACATGACCATCATGCACATCCCACCCAGAGAGTTAGTGACTCTCTTAAGACATTAAAGACAAAACTAGAAAGAGCAGATACCCTTTCCTTTGTACTAGATCTATGCTTTTTACTACTTTCAATAACAGATGATTATTTTCTTCCACTTTTTTTAAAAAAAAATTATTTATTTATGCATACAAAACTGGGGTACAGGCCAGAGGTTCAGAGGCAGTGAGGATTTACCAGAAACAGAGTGGGGAGCAGAACAGACTGACTGACGAAGTATACTGCTGAGAGGAGCAGCAGGCAGGTCAGGAGAGGTCTGCTGGGCCATGTGGATCACCTCTGGGGTCGATTGAACTCATGCTGCAGCTTTAGCTTCTTAGTGCTGTGCTTTAACTCACTGTGCCACTTGCTGTTTTGACAGTGTTCTCTATGGCTAATTCATGCTTCATACAACCTTGCGGTAAGTGTGACCTTGTTTCTTTTAGCTACTGGAGAATCATAGCTAGGGCTAAGAAAATATCATAGACTACATGTCCTAAATAGGAGAAATTAATTTCTCATGGATCTGGAGACTGGAAAGTTCAAGACAAGGGTGATATTCTGAGGGGGTACTGGTGAGGAACCACTTCTTGCTTTTTTCTGACAGAGCAAAGAGAAAGACATCATCTCTCTTGAGTCTCTTCTTATAATGGCAAAATCCCATTCATAAGGGTTCTCCCCTCATAATGTAATTACCTTCCAAATATCTCACCTCCAAATATCCAAGTATTAGGGCTTCAACATATGAATTTGGAAGGAACCAGTAAGTTCATTTTATTGAGTATCCACAGAAATTTAAGTACACTCAACTCAACCACCTACAGCCTTCCATTCTTTACCTACAGAATATACTCTTCTAATAGTAATATGGTGACCAGAAATGAGTCCCAACAATCCAGAGAAGTGTATTTTTTTCAGGCATCTGTGAGAAACAGATGCTCTCTCAAGCCTGGGAGAGAAACCAGCTTCTTGGGGGCTCGGATTACATCTTGTGTTCAGGGAATCACATCAGAATCATTTATATAATGGAGTCAAAGTCAGTTTTCTTATTTTTCTGTATTTTCTATCATTTCCTAAGTTTATAGTAAATGGAATAAATCTGCAATAAAACAAAAGAAGTCAGCCAGACTAATGGGAAATTTCTTTCATGACAAATGTCTGCTTAATTTATTCACTAATGGGTACTCCTAAGCTTCCAAAAGGTTATTCTCCTTTAAGGGAACACAGATGTTTGACTTAAAACTCCATATTTTTGACATTTCAATATTGGTATCCTCACTTTTTTACAAATGAAATTGTAAGAAAACAAAATCTGCTTGTCCTACAGCAATTTGGCTGTTGTTCAAAAACTTTTTCATTAAAATCAAATAATATGTTCTACAAATCTAATTGCAGGGGAATTAAACACAGTTACTAAATAGTCATCTATGTTACAAAATGAAGTAATAAGATATAGGAAAGCAGAGCCAGGAAATGGTCAGTAGAAAAGATTTTAAGGAACATCCACCTGCTTCTGCTATGCTCATATTTGGGTCTATTTTGATGTTTTTAAGTGAACATTTAAACCTCAATTTGTTGTATAAAAGATATATTTACTTAACTTTCATTGCACTTGAAGAATAATTGAAGTGAATAAGATGCTTTGCATTTATAAGCCTCAATTTTGTCTATTATAGGCATGCTATCTATAAGAGTTAACACCAATAAGTAGTGTACAAGTTTATTCCAAGAGCTGTTTAGTGGAAGGAAGGTGTGGAAAATTGGGTGTGCATAGTAGAACTGGTCAAAACTTCTTGATTGTTTTAACTTGCCTGAGCCTTCAACTTTAAATTAAAACATTTAACCATTTAAATCATTTGACTCTAATGGCTTCAACGCCCCAGTCACCATTGGAATGTCTATTCCCCAATTCAGGTATGCAGTAAATGCTAAATATTGTGAAATGGATGAATTAAATGAATTAATGAAAAAAATCTATACCTCTATTTCTTTTTCCTGATAGGAGTAGATAGGTCAGTAAGCAACTCTAGGTTCTGACAAACTCCAGGTACAAACATTTGAGCCATCCAATAGAAAGATATGTAAACAAAACACTGGGTGATGTGATCATTAGTCTTTCCTGTTAAAGACATTGGGGCATAGTTTGAGTCTAGTTGAAATACTCTATCTTTATAACTATAGTTATGTATTTCAGTTGCATCAACAATATAATTTTACACATGATTTCTTTTTTATATTTCTTTTAAATATATCTATTTACATTATTGTTCATTTTATAACAATGTTTGCTTCCCCTCCCCCACCTGTCATCACCATGCCCCACATGTTTCTCCCTCCTTCTGATCCCTCTCTGTCCCTGTACCCTGTAGAATCTCTCTGTTTATAATTATCTGTTTGTCTTTGTATTGTTTTGTTCCACTCCTAGGGATCAACCCAAAGGACACAAAAACATCAATTCAAAAGATACATGCACCCCTATGTTTATCACAACACTACTGACAAGAAAGGTAAATCCTGTAAACAACCCAAATGCCCAAAACTAGATGACGGGATCTGGATCAAGAAGGTCCAGATGGAATACTACTCAGCAATCAAAAAATATAAACTCATGCCATTCACAACAACATGGATGGAGCTAGAAAGGATTATGCTCAGTGAAATAAGTCAGAAGGAAAAAGAAAACTATCAAATAGTTTCACTTATAGGAGGAATTTAAGAGAACCAAATAAGACAGGGAGAAAAAAGTATATTACAATACATAAATGATTGTAACCGTGACCAATTGGCTAATTCAAGCATTTTTATGACAGATACCAATCATTGCAAGTTATTTGGAAACCTGATGATCCTCATTGATAATTCCAGTCACGTCTCACACATACATCTAGTCCATGCCAAACAGATTGCAGAAAGGTAAGTTTGTGCATGCATGAGTATATGTGTGTATTTATGTGCACATGTGTCTATGTGTGAAAGCATTGGTGGATTTCTTTGTGTTACTTATTATTCTAATGCAATATTAATCTTTGCCTGGGAGTTCTTAAAGATTTTTGCACATTCACTGTTTACATAAGCAAAGGATCACAGGAAGTCAATTTGACCACATTGAAGAGACGCTAGTATATCTTGAAATACCATCTTTCTTAAAAATTTTCTAACTTCCAGTATGCTTAGGGATTGCCAGCTATGATTAACCTTCTTAGATCAGTTCCCACCCTTGTGTAATGCATTTAAAAATACAGGAGCAAATAAATGATGTCATAGAGACAAAACCTCTGCAGGTAAAAACTAGCATAAAGCAGATAAGCATTCTCTGGCTGGGGTACAGAGCTCTAAAACTGCTTAAAATAATTAAACCCTACTCTGAAAACACTATGTAACAGATGTGAACTGCCTGAACTTGTTTCTGAACAGATTCATTTTATGTCTATAGAATTTAATACACTAATTCATGTTGATTCAGCTTAATTGATGGACTCTTAAACTACTTCTGAGCTTAGCTCATTCATTGACCTGGGATCTGTACTTTAAAATGAAATCTATTCTTTTTCTTTCATTTGAAGATGAGAAAAGACTATTTCTGTTAATGTTTATTGGGTCAGCTTATTTAATTAAAAACAAATCCCTTGCCTACCTTGCAAAATGGTACACAAAATGAACTACTACACAAAAATGACCGAAAGTTTTCCTAAATTGACTGGTGAAATCAATTGTTTTGGTGTCAATAAGGCTTACATGTTGGTTATGCAGCAGAAAAACAAAGTTGGGATGTTAGCTCTAGTGGAAGATGCATAGGAATAGGAAGCAGGCCTTTAAACAGCAGTGTGGGTTAGTCAAAGACACTGCTCTATAGCACTTACTGAGTCCTCACAACACAGTGAAGTGATGCTAGTAGCATCCCCTTTTACAGATGAGAGGATTTTCCCAGGGTCATGTCATGGGTTAGAGCATAGCCTTGAATAGATCACTGCTACTGTGATCACATGTGTGAAAGGACTTTGTATAGAATAACGAATGATTATTCTGATATAGGAGTGAAGCTTAATAACTGCTGAAATTATCCATGTGCTGAAAATTAGCATAAAAGAAAAAGTAGATCGCTGATGGTGATGTTTGTCAATGATAGTCACCCCTTGATTTTGAGGAGTGGCACATGTTAGCAAAATGGGTGGCACAGTTAAGCATAGTCTTACCATACAGTTCAACAAGTATATTCCTAGTTTCCTATGCAACTAAGAATTTACTTCCACATAAAATTCTGCCCATGAGTGTTTATAGCAGCTTCATTTATAATCACCAAACATGGAAGCAATTCATTTATAATCACCAAACATGGAAGCAATAGGTGACAAATGGGTAAACAAATAAATGCTTCTTTATTTATCCATGTACTTGACTATTACTCAGAGATGAAAGTGGATGAGCTATCAAGTCACAAAGACAGAGATGAATCTTATATGCATGCTACTAAAAATCATAAATACTATGTGACTTCAACTATATGACTTTCTGGAGAAGGCAAAGTTACAGAGAGAGTAAAAAGATTTGAGAGTTCTAATGTCTGGGAGCGGAGAGAAAGAGTTAAATAGCAACCACAGGCAATTTCTTACAGTTGTGAAACTATTCTTCATGATACTCTAATTGTAAGTACGTGACACAATGCATGTATCAACCAAACTTTACAGCACAATGTGAATCTTAGTGTATGCAAACTTAAAAATCATTTAGGAGGTGAAGGGATCTTAGAGTAGAATGCAGGAAGTGACAAAATATCTAGGTATATCCAAAATATCTGAAACAACTTCACTGAAGGTAGTAAGGGAAAGGTGATAACCTATGTCTGGATATGGGTGGAAACTATAAAAGACAAAAGGCAGAAGAAAATGTACATCAAGCTGCATTCTTGTTGTGTAAAGTTATTTTCCATGGGATTTCAGGTTAACAATTATAATACTGTTCTACAGTTAAGTAAATTTCCATTCCAGGAATGAAAATTTGCTGATAAAGGATGGGAGTGGATTAAATAGCCTTTAGGGGTAATGGATTAGATTTGGCATTATCAATATGAACTCATATTTACCTTACCACAGATACATATGATTTTATAGGGAGATATTTCCTTTTTCAGAACTGAGAGAGCCTAATGACACCCCAGTAGCAAGAAGCATTTCTAGCGCCCAGATTTTTGTTTCTAAAACCGCTCTGCAATGAAAAGAACCAGGGGTGATTCTAGGACTAGATCAGGAAACATACAAGATAGCCCTGAAGGATCTTATAGATCCAGAGAGTATGGAAATATGAAAACACACTCAAGCATGCGTGCACACACACAAACACACCACAGATCTGTATCTAACCTCTTTGGTGTGAGAATGGGACAAAGAGTTACCTCTTTCTTGTAAGTGTAATTATTTTTACTTTCAACCACAATTCTCCAGTCACCTTTGTTTTGTATGGATTTTCATGTATTAAACTTGCATCTATGTTCACCTGGGTTTTTTGTTTCTTTCCTTCAAGAGCCAACCACAGAGATAGCAGTCTTACTCCAAAATAACTAAATGTACAAAAAGTTAAAGACAAATAAGTAAAATACACAATGACAGGGGATTGTCAAATGGATACAAAAGTCAATTGAAAAAGCTCCAATAACTCCATCTACAATACTTTGAACAATGAAATAATGTAGTATTGAACTATAATTCAGAGCATAAAAATAAATACCTGTGACTACATATTAATACAAACAAATGATTGATTATAAAGGTAAATAGGGGTGAAGGGACACATCTACCATGAAAAAAGAATTCCAAATAATTTATGTGGATACTCCACCCTCAAGAAACTGGAGCATATCTCCCTACTCCTTTTTTTGGGGGGGGGAGGGGAAGTTGTATATATTGACATCCTTACAAAGAGTGCAACATAGAGAAACTACTTCAACCAAGTGATCAAGGTCAACATCAACAGCAGAAGGTAATGGATAATGTTGATGGAATGGATGCTTGGTATGGTGATAAAAAAAAATTCTATCTTTGTGGTCTTCCTCCTAAAAATCACATGTCTAATCATGTGAAAAACATCAGGTGAATCCAAATTAAGGAACATTCTACAAAATACTTGATTAATATTTCTCAAGAACATACTAAGTATGAGAAATTATCACAGTCAAGAGAAGACTGAGAAGACAAGGAAACTAAATGTAATGTGGTATCCTGAATGAAATCTTAAGAATAAAAAGAGGGACATTAGATAAATTCTAAGAAAATTTGAGTAAAATACAAACTTTAGTTAATAGTACTAAGTTAATATTGATTCATTGATCGTAACAAAATCACCATACTAATATAAGATGTTAATGATTAGAGAAATAGATTGGGAGTATATGGGCACTCTGTACTATCTTTGTAATTTTTATAAATGCAAAACTACTATTACATATGTAGTATAGTTTTATACAGTGGGCAAGTTTGGGTTTTACCTTGACTATCACATCACTAAAAGATATGGCTTCCCATATTTTCACATTCTATGCTGACAAGGGTTTAATATCAAAAAAAATATAAAGAACTAATAAAAATCCACAACAACAACAAAAACCTGTTAAGAAATGGCAGAATAACTGAATAGATACTTCTCCAAAGAAGACATATAGATGGTCTATAGGCATATGAAAATATGTTCATCATCTCTTATTTTTAGGGAATGTAATAAAAGTAATGCGTATCTCCTCACATCTGTGAGAATGACTATTATCTAAAAGAAATAAACCTTAAAAGATGTAGGAGAAGGGGAAAATTTGTACACTGTTGGTGGAATGTAAATAGGCATAACCATTATGAAAAGCAGTATGGAGAGTCTTCAAAAATTAAAAATAGAAATTCCATGTGAACCCAGTTCCCCACTTCTGGGAATTTACCAAAAAATATCCAAAAAGTCAAGAGCTAGAAACAACCTCTGTGCCTATCGTCAGATATTTGGAAAAAGAAGTTGTTATATATGCATAATAGAATACTACTCAGATACTTAAAAATAAGATGAAGTCTTGCCATTTTCAACATGGATGGAGTAGATGGTGTTATGCTTAGTGAAATAAATCAGAGAAAGACAATTTCACTCATGTGGTACATAAAAAAAAACAAATAAATAAACTTAAAAAAAAAAAGCTCTAGTCTATAAGACTGAATTAGTGGTCACAGAAGGGAAGAGGGGTTGGAGTGGATCAAGGGGTAAAAGTAGTCAATTGTATAGTGAAAGATAAAATTGGACTTTTAGTGGTGAACTTAATGTGTTGTATCATGTGGATGTTTAATGATGCACACCTAAATTCATAGACTGTTATGCAATGCTGCTTCCCAGTAAAAATTGTTCAGAAACGTTGCTTCTTATCAACTCTAAAATAATGTTTCAATTAGTGATAAAAGATATAACATGACATGATTTAGTCACAAATACTCCTTTCAGATGTATATAGTTACTGGGAAAAAAATTTTTTGTTCAGTGCTTGGCTACAGTAACCTTTTCCTAGAGTTGGTTTATTAATTGATTTATTTTACAATGAATCTTAACACCTTCAGGTCTCTACTATTCAGTCCCTCCAACAAGCTGGTGCAATGCCCACACAGATGGAAATCTGTGGTGGGAGTTAAGGAAAGGAGTATTTGAGCTTCTCTGTTGTTCGTGTTCTGATAGCCAGTGAAACATGCTATGTCTTTACTCTCCCCCAATTCCATAAAGCAAGATCAGATGGGTAAGTATGAGTTGGAGGAGAAGGTGCTGCAATCCCCAGTGCTTTACTTGGTTTTTAACTGGAGGAAGTTATAAGAGTCTGACTACAAAATAAGCATCCCAACTAGCACATAC